AGCACGCTGTGCCTTCACAAAGGCTGCTAAGCCCCTTGCTGAAATCTACTCATCTTACAACCCCTAATTTCCTTCAGAGCTCAGTTCAAGGACCACCTTCTACATGAGGTCTTTCCTGGTTCCCACAAACTCCTAGTGCCTAACCTTCCTGCCCCCGCAAAAAATTACCTTTCATTATTTTGTATGTGCTTACGTGTATCCATTCAACCCAATAGAAATTTGTTTCTTGAGGGAAATTGTTTTTGTCTTTGTATTCCCCAGGACCTAGCATACTGACTAGCACATGGTAAATAAACGCTTGTTGATTAAATGATTATTGATTGACCATGGGCAAATCATTCAATTGCTCATTTCCCCTAAGCAACTCTTTAAAACTCCAAGTCATAGGTGAGTTGTTTGAGTCCCATTGATGAAGAGACTTTCCATGTCAGGAGTTCAATTCACTGATAAAATCACCAGTCCCTTTCCTCCCTGCCAAATATTTATTATTATACTTCCTATGCTTCAGTAATTCAAGGAGCACAATTTCATCAGTGCTAGTACTGACACCAATAGGGCAAAGTGCAATCCCTTTGTAAAATGGTATATCATATTTATGATTTGATGTGACCATAATAATAATAATAATAATAATAATCATTTGGCAAACCTTCTTGTTATAAGCTTTTTGAGCTTGTAAGATGTTAGACAGACAATCCATTGATAGGCCCATCCATGAAGGCTTTCCTGTTTAGTGGCTCTTGCCAGGGCTTGTGAAAGTGGCATAGTCTTTGAGGCCCAAAGGTTACCTCCACAACATGAGGAGATATCAGAGGAGGATTTTGGCAGAGGAAAGTCTCATCATACTGACCATTAATTAATTCCTGGGCTCACAACCAACATAAGATGGATGGAGACTGAACAGACCTGAGCTCCCTGAACCGTTGGCTCCAGGGACTTCTGCCTTCCTGTGGAGATTCTTTGGTTCAATGAAAACGAAAAACATGTAGAAAATAAAAACAAAACCTTTTCCCATGAAAGTTCTGATATTTTGACAACTGATGTTAAATACTAACAAAGGCTAATGATATACCAAACATAAACAGGTACATTATTCTCTCATTTTGAATATTTAGTTATATTTAGTCTCTCCTCAACAAGGTTATAAACCCCTTGAGGTCAAGACCATGTTTTATGTTTAAAGCATGGTGCTAGACATACATTACTTTTGACAAATACTTATTGTTTAAAAGTTGTTGTTCTTTAGTTGTTCTCAGTTGTATCTGACTTTTCATGACTCCTTTTTGGGGGGTTTCTGGCAAAGATACTGGAGTGGTTTGCCATTTCCTTCTCCAGCTCATTTTACAGATGAGGAAACTGAGGCAAACAGGATCACAGGGCTGTTAAGAGTCAAGGTTGGATATGAACTCAGGTCTTCCTGAACCTGGGCCCAGCACTCTATCCACTGTGCCACCCAGCTGCCCCACTGTTTGAAGAAGTGAGTTGAAAATAGACCTTGCACAGAGAGCTTGTGAGCTAAATCATAAATGGGCACACAAATGGGCACACAAGCTCACCTTGTTGTTCAGTTGTTTTAGGTGTGTCCAACTCTTTATGACCCCATTTGGGGTTTTCTTGGCAAAGTGGTTTGCCATTTCCTTCTCCAGCTCATTTTACAGATAAAGAAACTGAGGCAAACATAATTAAGTGACTTGCCCCGGGTCACACAGCTAGTAAGTGTCTGAGACTGGATTTGAACTCAGGTCTTCCTGATTCCAGACCCAGAACTCTTTATCTACTGCACCACCTAGCTGCCCACCTACAGAGATCAGTTTACACATTGGACCTGATGGTGTGGTTGTACACTGTGGCATAATGAAGTCTTCTCAAGGAACAGTTGCCTTTCCACTGAGTGGCATTTCTATTCACCAGGCAGTTCATTTCAGTTACTGCCTTACCAAAGCCCTTGGGTGGGAGCCTTTGAATAAATGAAAATAAATAAATGAAAAAGCATTTCTGAAGCACTTACTATGTGCTAGCACATAGTGACTGAATATAAATAAAAAAGTAAAGACAGTCCCTACCCTCAAAGAACTTATATTCTAATTGGGGGAGACAACCACTGTAGGGAAATGGTGGCCACGACAGAGCACTGTGGTCCTAAAAGTTACAAGGAGAGTGAGTGGAGCTGTAGGGGAGTAGATTGACAGATCTCTTTCAGCAAAAATAGCATAGTTGGTTTGAATATGGTTTCAGAACTTGAGAAGGGAAATAGTAGAAATAACAAGCATTTTCCCAGCATTGATCTCTATGTACACTCTGCCTGGTTCCCCATAATTTCTAAGATCAAAAATAAAATCCTCTGTTTGGTATTTGAAGCTACTCATAACCCGCCTCCCTTCACCCCAAACACACTTTCAGTCTCCTGACACCTTAAATCCCCCCCCAACCACACACACACACACACGTATACATACATACACATACATATACACATACATACACACACACACACACACACACACACACACACACACACACAACTATACTCTGTGATTCATTAACACTGGCCTTCTTGCTGTTCCTTAAACCAGACATTCCGTATCCTGACTCCAGGCATTTCTTCTGTTTCTCATACCTGGAATGCACTCCCTCCTCATCTTGGCTTCCTGGGATGGGCCTCCTTGGATTTTGGGGTGAGGGTTAGCATTAGGGATGTTCAGCTTAATGACAGCTCATGGAAGAATAAAGGAGTTTGGCTTCATTTCTACCAGTGCTCATAAGAACCCAAGTCCAATATTCCAAATCAAAGATGAGGTGCATTTAAATGATGTTAATTTATTTTATTGTGGACAAGATGCCAGTAGGCAAAACTGAGAGACGATGTGATAAATGTTTGCTGAATCACTTGGCCTTCCTGGGCCTAAGTTTTCTCATCTGTAAAATAAGAGGGTCACAATAGGGAGGAGGCTGGTTTTACTTTTCAGATATGAAGTCCAAAGAACGAAAAAATTATTCCAGTCCTTTTTTTCTATATCCATCATGAGAATTCTTGATGAAAAAGAGATACTGCTTTGATAAGCAGTAAATAAAGCTAATGAATTTTTAGCTATGAAAGTGGGGAGGAAAAAATTGCCAGCTCTTCATCTTCCATAAAATCCCCCAGAAAAGCATTTTCCCATGCAATGGCAAAAACTGCCATAGCTGCAGTTTCCTTTGCTTAATGGCTTTCATAGAAAAGCAACATTAACTTTACAATAGCAGTCTTCCTCTCTCCCCTGCCTTGCAAAGGATCACTGAGTCTTCAGTGATTGTGTTATTCCTGAAATTGTTTGTACTGGGGATCAATGAGATGAGCTGAAAGATTCTCAGAGTCCACCAGTGCTTGGGATGCTATTAACCTACTTGACCTTGGAATGGAAGATCATTTCATCGGCTGCACATCACATTAAAAGGAAACTCCAATAGCTTTAGAACTGGAAGGCTACAGCATAGTAGAGTGGAATAAGTTTACACTTAGAACCATGAAAACCTGGACTCAAATCCTAGCTTTGCCACTAACTAGTAGGGTGACTTGGGCAAGTCACTTAATGTCTCTAGACTTCAAGCTCATCAATTATAAAATGGGGAGGTGACACCTGTGACTCTGGAGGCTCCCTTCCATTGTGTACCTGGGCCATACTACTCAAGTGTGGCCTTACATAAGCCTACTGAAAGGCAGTATGTAACTGTATTAATTATTCAGTAAGGAAGAGTAATTTCTTGAAGGCCTCTAACTTCTGCTGGTATCCTTGGAGTGTCAGAAGAAAGTGAGGGAGGTCTCCAGCAGGTTGGATAAATCCCCTATGGCAGTTATAGGAGGACATGGGCAGGCATAGTTAGGTGATAATTTGAATCATTCCAGGGAATGTTCCATCAATGAAATCACTGATCTATTTGAGAATCTAAGCAAATGTTTTTATTGGATGGGTTACTGGGGAAGAGGAGAAGCATAAAGGAGAGGCACCCAGATCTGTGATTTCATCTGTGTAAAAAATGTCCAGTGTCAAAATGCCTTCTACCATTTTGGTACTTTCTCTGCAATTTATAGTCTCAAAGAGCTGCCTGGGGCACTTAGGAAGAAGCAACTTGGCCAGAGTCACCAGTCAGAATGTAATGAACCAAGGTCTTCCTGACTCCAGGCCTGGTGATCTATCCACTACATCACCTAATGGCCCCTCAGACTCTATGTGAGGCCTGAGGAGGAAGGTCACTATTGACATGGGAAATGGGAAAGCATTACAGAGGGGGTGGCATTTGAGTTGGAGTTTAAGGAACCAGTAACAATTCAGCATGTGAAGAAGGAGAAGGAGGGCATTCCAGGCCTAGGAACAATGTGCCGAGATGCATTGGAAAGTAGAGGGTATGTTCAGAAGCGGGGTTGGGGTCAAAGAGTAGTCTAGTTCAACTGAGTCACATAGTACCTACAAGGGAGTAATATGAGATAGTGCTGGAAAGAGAAGATGGTTCCAAATTAATAAAGACTTTTTTGTGGTTTAATCCTTTTTCAGTCCCATTGAACTCTTCATTACCCCATCTGGGATCTTCTTGGCAAAGATACTGGAGTGGTTCGCCATTTCCTTCTCTAGCCCATTTTACAGATGAGGAAACTAAAGTAAACAGGGTTAAGTGACTTGCCCAGGATTACACAGCTAGTAAGTGTCTAAGGCCCTATCCACTGTGCCACCTAGCTGCACATTAAAGACTTTAGATACCAGGAAAAAAGAAACTAAACAGAAGTTTGATAAGAGTTTGATAAAAGTTGCTAAGTTTATAAGTTGAGTTGATAAGAGTTCATAAATAAGCATTTATTATGTACCAGTCACTGTGCTAAGTGCTAGAGATACAAATACAACAAAAGGGGTATTATTAAAGATTTTTGAAGAAAGAATTACATAGGCAACTCCTTATGTGGTAATCCCCTCCAATGAGGCATATGCCTATGGCATATGGTTTATTCCAGATGGTAATATTCAACTTACTCTTGGTGTGGTGCTCCTGTTTTGGTCAGCAAGGTCAGTACAAAAAACATGAAAATCACGAAGACAGCAAGACCAACCCAAAATCCAATGACAATGGAATCTGCAAAACAGTTAATAAATGAATTAATATTTCACCTCTGCTTTTTAATGGAGGAACAAGTTATCATTAAAGGCAATGGAAAAAGCATAGGAACACCTTGATTCTAATCCTGGCTCTGCCACTGACTAAGTGTGTAACTCAGGATAAGTACTTCAAACTCTCTAAGTTTCAATTTCCTCATATATGATATGGGAATAAAAAAGAGCTTAATCTGCCTTCCTCACAAGGGTTATTGTGAAAACACAATGAGATAACATTAGCAAAACATTCTGCAAATATAATTATTACATTAAAGGTGCTTTGGTGGACCAATCCAAGTACTGTCTGGCTATGCCCAAAGCATGGAAAGTGAAAACTTTTAATGAAATTTTAAAAAAACATTACCTAAACTCTTTACCTTCCCACAGGTCATTTCCTCAGAATTAAATGTGTTGCTTGTGTGAGCTGGCTGTATATGAGGCCATTAAATTCTCAGTAACCACCATTAAATGTCTTTGGCCTTAGCCCTTAATGACTATTTTCATGATTTACCAGTAGCATGGCATACTTATCTAATAAGGAATCAATAACTATTTTATTTCCAACCCCATCCCTGACTTACTATGATATTCTTAGAGGTCACATCCTCTTGAAACCCAAGTTATAATTATATTTGCCACTTATCTGCTGTCATCAAATAACAGCCTTGGGGACAACAGAATCACAGAATTTGAGAGATAGAAGAGATCTTAGGAGTCATCTAGTCCAACTCATATGCATTAGGTTGGCTTAGATAACACAATAATAGTTGACATTTATATAACACTTTAAGGTTTGCAAAGTGCTTTATAAATATTATCTCATTTTATCCTCAAAACAACACTGGGAGGTAAAGACTATTATTATCCCCAGACTACAGATGAGGAAAATGAGCTTAAATGACTTGCTTAGAGTCACACAGCTAAGGTCTAAGGCCATATATAAAGTTGGGTATTCCTGATTATAGGTCCACCATGAGATCCACTGAGCTACCTAGCTACTTCTAACATAGCCTGACAATGTTCCAACAATGGTCATCCAAACTCTAAAGAGAGAGGGAGCCCACCACCTACTCATATTCTATCTTCTACATTCCACTTTTGAACTGTTCTAATTGTTATAGAAGTTATTTTTTTGTTTTGTGTTTCCCCTTCATGTCAGGTCTCCAGACTTTGAACTCAAAATACTATGCCCTATTACAATAGGTCCAATACTATGGAATCCTACAATTCCGAAAACAACATTTCAAGCTGAGACAGCAATTCTGAGTGTGGCTACCTAAAAAATGAGTAAATAAAGTTTATTAATAAAAGCAGGTCTGGCAATATGCCTCGAGGTAAAAAGGTGGCAACTGGACCTCAGCCTCTTGGCTGACCCTACCATTGTGTCCTTTGTTTACAACTCCTCATTTTAGCACTGGACTCTTCTTTCCTAATTACCAGCTTAGTCTCCTCCTTAAACCTTCTGAAATGAAAGGATGAGAAAATTAAAATTGTCTAAGGAACCTCTGAGGAGCTACCTATAATTGTCTTTCTCTTCATTCTGAGCCCAACTCAGTTCTCTGGAGTTGTTTGTTGTACCTCCTTACCTACGGCCTTGACCCTTCGCCCTCAACAGGTACCTTCCTACCCCCTTTTTCCCAGTTCCTCTTTGTGTTTTCTCTTCACTTTTTAGAATGTAATCTTGAAAATAGAAGTTTTCATGTATTTGTATCCCCATCACTTAACACTGAGCCTGGCATACAGTGCTAAAAAAATTCTGTATCTTCTACCTACCTGCCTATCTATCTATCTATCTATCTATCTATCTATCTATCTATCTATCTATCTGTCTGTCTGTCTGTCTGTCTTTTTATTTACTTATTTTTTACCTATTTATCTATCTATCCATCTACCTATTTATCAATCTAATTATCTATCTATCTATCTATCTATCTATCTATCTATCTATCTATCTATCTATC